AAAGGAAATCAACACAACAACTTCCCCTGGTCACCAGTCTTAATAACAACAGCATGTGGTACAATGAAGGTCTTTCAACTGCTGCAATTTAAATGCATTTCCTCTTTTCCCAATCTGAAGGATCTAGAGAGTAGCTTTCACCTAAAGCCCTCAAGTTTAAAAAGCTTTCATAAAATAAAGACTGGTTGTTAGAAGGGAATGAGGAAAGGGAAGACTTCCTAATGTTTATTTATATTCTACTTATTTGACCAATATGAATTATTTCTACTCTCCCTACACTTCAATAGAAGGGGTCATTCTTACAGCCTGGTTTTTCTAACCTCATTCCCTTTTCTCCAGGCTGTATCTTTCTACTTCCATTTTGAGGTCGAGAATTCAGGTCTCTTTGAGGGCCGATGACATAAAATGTGGAGTGGTGGGACCCTCGCAAACTGCAGAGCTGATCTAGCTGAAAGCACTCAAATCCCCGAGTAGACTGGGAGTCACCAGCCTGTAACATTTCCCTGCCCCTTGTTTTTCTCCATGCCGCATTTTCTTGTTCTGCCTGATTTCCAAATTACTAAATATGTGGAAGCTCCGTAAGAACATCTATGGTTTTGGCCACTCAGAAGTATGTTACCATTGGCTGGATCAAGAGCAGCTTTGGTCCCATCCATGCTCAACACTCCCCAGCATTTCTCTCCATAACGATGACCTGCCAACAAGACACGCTTCTCTCCCCTAACAAAGTTTGCATGGCAAACAGTGATTCATGTACCTCACTCTGCCTTAGTTTGATGTCATGGCAACCAGGCCCCAGATTCTGAGTTTGCATAGCAGGCTGCTGGCACTCACTGTAAATTCTGGTAGGCCCACTTCACCAGTCAGTCCAATTTCTGTCCAGTTGGCAGGGAGCTACACCTAGTAACTATTTACATGGATCAAAACATAACCAGAATCAGCAGATGGCAGGTTTGGGCTGACTGAGTCAGAAGGAAAGGCTGAGCTGGGCAGAGTAGGAGGCAGGGCAAGTTAAGAAGAGACAACTGAAAACATCACTCCTGCATGGTCATGTCTCTGTGGCTGCCAGGCTGGGAGCATTAAGCACTATCAAAGCTGAGAGGATCGTAAGCGCATGAGTATCTGCTGCTGTTATTGTTGTAAGGCGCCATGGAGGCGAGTACAACCCCTAATAAGCCTGTGAACAACACATCTGACACCATCCTATCCTGTGCCACCCGCACAATTTCTGACACGCTTGAGCCCTTTGCAGCAGTCACTGTGTCAATCCATCTGGTTGAGGGTCTTTCATCTGCCCTCCACCTTTTCCCCGTCTCCAAGGAATAGCCTCTCCTAGCAACATGACCAAAGTATGTGAGATGCTTTATCACCTTTGCATCCAAGGAGCACTCTGGATGCATTCTCTCCAAGACATATTTGTTTCTTCTTTTGGTCGTCATGGGATAGTCAGTACTTTTCTCCAACACCACAGCTCAAACGCATCAATTCTGTCATTCTTCTTCACTGCCCAGCTCTCAGATGCATAGGAAGTAAATGAAAAGACAATGGCCTGAGTCAGAATTTTCTGTGATTATCTAGACAGAGATAATATGGCACTGAACAGACTCTGTCTCATTCCTATTGGGTTGGCCCTTCACACATGGGCCACCAAAGGAGCCAGCAGAGGGGCCAGTCCTAGATGGAGGCAAGATTCCCATGAGCAATTGTCCATCTGATGAGTGAAGAGATCAGGGCTTCCGTGGGGTAGGGCATATGTCTCATCATCTGTACAGTTCCACATGACCCAGGGCTAGAATGCAGCAGCTGGTAAATAAGATGCAGTTGTTGAACAAATTGAAAGAGGCAATGGGTGTGACGCCAATCCAACAGCGTGACCTTTGCTAGGGCCAGGAGTAGGCTGCGGGCATGTACTTTTTTAAAGCAGGATGTCGGCTTTAGAACACTGTGAGACTTCCTGACTCCTGACAGCATCAAATTCTGATGTATTTGGTCCAGGGTGATAAACTGGTGTTTCATTTCCTGCTTTGGAATTCTTTCCAGTCATAAGACCCTTGGTGTCTCTCAGGCCCACGGCCAAGGTTTGCTTGAGGGTGAGAATCATGCACGCCCACATGGGTAACAGCTTTCATTGGCCAACTGGAAGGCATCTGGAAATAGAGTGTTTTCTTCTTCCTTCTCTGTCTTCTACAGGTTCTTTCTCACAAGGGAGGTCTTACAGTGACAAACCTCCTCAAGGGGAAGGCGCGGAGCCCCAGTATCAACATCAGCATCAAGAATCTGAAGGACAAATAGGGATGAAGGCCAAAAAGTGAGGAAGGCACACAGGCCCCCAAAATATGTTCAGAATTGCACCGGGCACTTCCTGAAAAATCTTTAGAAGCTACGGGCTGGAGGAGTCAAATGATTATCAGAAAGAAAGCACTTCATTTCCTACTCCTGGTGTTTGTTTTTTTTTAAAAAAAAAAATTTATTAAGAACCTCAAAGATAATGAAAAGAAACTGAGCGACCCTCAAGACAATCCTCAATGTGGACTGACAGTATAATTGAGCATTATGGTTTGTGAAGGGGTGGACTGTAAAGTTCAACAGACTAGCCCATAGTCAAAAGCATCAGGGTCGTTCTGAAAATAGAGATTCAAAAAGCCCATGAACGTGCACTTGTCTGTGTACAGAGCACAGACTACAGGGTCTTGCTGCATGCCTGCCATCCACAACTTCAGCGTCGGGGTGTGGTCTATGCAGCTGCAGGACAAGAAAGAAGTGTTAGCACATCAGGAGTTGTAAAGCGAGCATCCCATAATAATTTTACAAGGTCCTGAAAAACTGATCTTGCTGTTAACTGAAAGGTGGCACCTCCCTGTCAGTTCTGACCCGCCAGTGGCTCTGTAGGTAAAAAAAAAAAAGGACAATCTTCTCGTATGTGATTTACAGCCTCTGAAAACCTGATGGAGGGTCATTTATGAGTCAGTTCCAACTCGACAGCAATGAAAGAGAGAGAAAATGGGTTCATTTGTGGAATGCAGACTAAATGATGACACTCTGTACTAGGTATCACTCCAAATTCATGTCACCCTGAAACCTCAAAAATGTGATTTAAAAAAAAATGGGTCTTTGCAGATGTAATTAGCTAAGTCATCCTGGCTGAGGGAGGATCCTGATTCTAATTACTGGTGTGTGTAATGTAACAACACCTCAGGAAGACAGTCATGTGAAGATGGAGGCAGAGTCTAGAATGATGCCGTTATAAGCCAGGGGTTTCTGGGAGTTGCATGAAGCAGGGAAACAGCACGGAAGAATTTATGCCTTCAGAAGGAGCCAATCTCTTGACCTGAGAGTTCTAGCCTCTAAAACAAATTTCTATTATTTTAAGCCACCCAGGTGTGGTCCTTTGCTTACAGTCCTAGGAAACCAATAAATATTCACTTGACAATAAGATAAATAAGTTAACCTAGAATCAGATTCCAGCCAAGAAAAATGTATAGAATAGTTCTCCTTTCTAACACAAGCAGCCACTATGAATGGGCCTCCTCGTGAAGGCAGTGGGTTCAGGTTTGAGGATTATCAAGTAAGCAAATTCATGTCTTAGAAGAAAATCTTGTTTTGTGACTAGCTGTATGTGTTTTTGAGTTGTAGGAGGAGTTGTTGCTTTCAATAGCAGTGTTAAAATACGTGTGGCCGGACAGCTGTGGGACTTTCAGGGTTTGTGCTTCCGTCCACTCTTTTCCAACAAAAGGACAAGTCATTGAAATGACTGTCCTGTCACTGTCAGCTTTTTACTTCATGGAGTTTGAGATCAAATAGACAATTAATTTACAAAGCATTTTTGTTAAAAAAAATTCATGAAACAATCACCATTATTGAAATAATAGGGCTGGTAGGGCTCTTGCAAGGATAGATGAGGAAACTTACGTCTAGGATCTGTAAAGCAACTTGTTCAAGCATGACCCAACAGGTCAGTGGGAAATCCAGACCCAGAAGTGAGTTCTCGTTATAACCTGTGGCTCAGTGTTTTATCCTCTTAGCCAACAAGTTTTTGTCATGTTTGAGTGTAGGTTTTAAATTATCAAATATGTTGCAGCTTATCTTCCCTTAAGGGCAGCTCAAGTCAGAAGCACATGTGACAGTTGAGTAGACCCAAGCCTGTGTGTTATCCTGTGGGTCCTGACGTGGCTCTTATGTTTCAGGACCAGACTCTCTGCAAACATCAGAATTGTCTGCTACCAGTTAATGCTGCTGCTGGGGTTTGAGCAAGTGGGGAAACTAATCCCACTTCGCCTGCACAGTTCTCTTCCAGAGTTTTGTCTAAATAGTTAATGTGCTGGGCTAATAACTGAAAGGTTGGAGCTTGGAGGTCACCTACAGGTGCCTGGGACGAAAGGCCTGAGCATCCACTTCTGAAAAGTCAGTCAGTGAGAACTCGAGGGAACCCAGCTCCACTCTGGCACATACAGGGTTGCTGTGTGTCAAAATCAACACAAGTGGTTTCAGTGTCTCTATCTGATCCCAATTTATCTGACCCACCATCAGGTTTCCTAAGGAATAAATCTTTACAGGAGGAGCTATCTTTCTCTCAGAGGAGCTGCTGGAGTCAAATCATAGACTTTTCGGTTGGCAACTAACAAGTATCACACTATGCTTCCACAGTGCTTGGTAATTTTATTGTTTAATATCAGGATATATTACTTAAAAATATTTTTAAAGGGTATTTCCTTTGGGAGATGTTACTGCTGTGTATTGTCAAGTCAGGACCAATTATAACTAACACTTCAGCAAGTTTTCAGAGGCAGTAAATCACCCAGGAGGATATTGCCCATATCTCAAGGAGCAGTTAGTGCTTTGAACTGTGTACCTTTGGGATGGCAGCAAAATTCCTTACCATAAAGCCACCAGAATTCCAGAATTCTCTCTGGGGAAATACCACAAGGGAATTAGATGTGTCTAAGATAGATGGTATTGGAGAGTGACAGCAGGATGGTCTGAGGGGACGAGACCACAGAGGTAGCTGCAGGCACCAACACTCAATGCCTGCAACTTTTCATTTGTTCCATGATGAGCATTGCCTGGATGGGCTAGTAAGGACAGCAGGCATGGAGCACTAAAGGGGGTTTAGGATGCCAAGTCTTAATAGCAGAAATGTGGGTAAACTTTGGGCCTACAGATAGGACATGAAAGTATAGATGCATTTTTACCAGGAAATGTGTGGTAGATTTAGAAACCCAGTTTCATTTCACCTCCATCCCCAAATGCATCCCCACATTCAAACTGAATGCGATGTCATAGAGTTGATTCTGACTCATAGCACAGGACGGAGAATGGCCTCTTCCGATTTCTAAGGCTGTAACTTAAACTGACAGCAGGCTGCCACTTCTTTCTTCTGTAGAACAGCAGATAGATTCAAACTACCAACCTTTGGGTGATCAGCAGACCACAAAGCCACTCTGTCCCCAAGGTTTCTTGAAACATACCCAAAGAGGGATAAATGATACACAGCCCTATTTCAACCACTGTGACCCCAGGAATTCACTACTCCGTGGCCAAATGTCTTACTCAGCTATCCCATATACATCCAGCCGCTCAAACCAGGGCCAAAAGAGGTAATCAATCATGGATATACAGTTTCCGCCAAAGAAGGAGGTCCTCTGATAGCAAAGAATCTAAAATTGAAACAGAACAAAAAGTAAGTTAATGACATATTTACACATGCACACACATTCATATGCATATACATGTCTGCTGGCATCATAGTCACAGATACGACAAGCTGTTGTTGTTAGGTGCAGTGGGGTTGGTTCCACTCACAGCGGCCCCGTGACTGGCAGAACACAACAGTGCCCAGCCCTGGGCTGTACAGACATTTACATTTTGAATTTGCTTTACTAAAACAAAGTTAATTTCTTCCCAAAGAGGGAGAACGAAGGCTTTGATTCTCCTTCCTGTTTGCTAGAAGAATGCTTCTCCCCCTCTCCTGAGGTTTCTTCCTCTTTTAGGGTAATGTTCCTGGGACACTCCTCTCACATTTCAGCACTAGAGCACCAGCATAACTCATCTGAGAGAGAATGTACAAGGATTATCACTAGATCACTGGTGCTGCAGTCCATAGCACGTTGTATGGCAAACCAAAAGGCTTGTGTCTCCACCAGGTCAAATCCACCAGTCACTTCTTGAGGGCGTCTCCTCCCATATGATTTACAGCCTCAGAAGCCTGAGCGAAGGTCACTCTGAGTTGGAACCACCTTGGGGGCAGCATTAGAGGTGGTTTAGGTTTTAGTTTACCTACACAGAGGCCACCATACCCTGCCTCCCCTTGGGATGCAAAAGGCTCCTCCAGGTGCTAAACTTTCCAGGGCTGGGAATTGCTCCAGGAGAAAGGGCCCAGCCCCAGGTCAGCACTGCCTGAGATTAAGGGGATGTGGGGGAGCCTTGGCCTGATGCTAAGGGTCTACAGTAGGAGCCCTACTTGTTGTAAATGTGTTCCCCATTTCTCCACCTTCACCAGTAACTGGTGAAGAATGTAGTCTTCCTTTGTCTTACTCCCTTTTCTGATTCTTTAATTGGTTTAAACCCAAGACAAGAATTGGCTGTGCTATTTAACGGACTCCTTCAAAGTTGTTAAAGATGAAGCAAGGATTTTTGGTTTTGTTTTTTAAATTTTATTATTTTTGTGTGAGTGTACCGTCAAATCAGATCTGACTGGTACAGGAGGAGACTGTCCCTCCTTCACCAGCAGAGCATCTGGTGGATTTGAACCGTGTGCCTCTGGGATTGTAGTTGCAGCTCCTTGGCACTAGGCCACCAGAGCTCCCCTGAAGCAAGGATTTTAAGGCTCCATCTCACATACTTTGGACATACGGCCAGGAGGGACCAGTCCTTGGAAAGAGACATAAGACTTGGAAGGGTGGAGGGACAGAGCAGGAGAGGAAGATCCAGCCTAAGACGGATTACAAGAAGTTTACTTGGCCAAGTCTTCCAGTAGCCAAAGACGTGGATTCCCTGGTAAGTTTTACCTGAAGTCTCAGGATACACTCGGGCCTTATTCTTCAGATGGCAGATCAGCTTCATGACTTATTGTGGGAATCCTAGGGCTGTAGTTAAGAGGGTAAACTCTGGAGCTGGTAGACCTGGCTTTATGGTGGTCTTTAGCTCTGATTCAACATGGAACCATGGGCAACTTACTTATCTCTTCCTCCAAGCCTCAGTTTTCTTATCTATAAAATGGTTGCACTGTCAGTACTCACTTCAAATATTGTGGTGAGGATTAAAGTAATAAAGCACACAAAATACTTGGGGCCCATTCAGTAAACATGCAATGTCCTGATAAGGAGTATTGTTCACTGGTTCATAATAACAAACAGGTGTCACTTTAATGTGTATAAAAACATTATATTATTATGTTAAAGATGTTTTAACATATCTGGAAGTGTTTCTTTAATGGCTTTATGCTTAGGAAATGTACTATTAGGGTGTCATAACACTTGAAACTTGGCTTTTCTAGCTAGCATTAGGCCCTGTTGGGGGCATAATCTCCAGCAACTTTAATCATCAATAGCTGTGAAACCAATTTAAGAGAGACATTTCCACATTACCAAAAAGGGCACTTACAGTGGTAGAGAGATTGTGAAGGGACTGTGGCATTGTTGGGAAAAGACTGTGGCAAGGTGTAACCAGAAGAACCACAGAGATAAAGGCTACAGTTAAAGGTTTTGCTTACTGAATGACTGAAGGAAAAGCAGACTTGTTACTGCTCTGAGATAAAGTTTGATGGATGACTGAGGAAACCAGAGGTTCATTTGTGTTGCTGAACTGAACCTGGACTTTCACAATCTTGGGAATTGTGCCTTGTTAACCTGGTTTGAGAATGCTGAACTAAACTTGGACTTGCATTGTGAGATAATCTTTGCCCTTCCCACTCTCCAACCTATTTCCCCAATAAACCCTACAACTGTGAGTAAAGTCTGTGAGTCTTGAAATAAACATTGGACCCAATGAATGATAGAAAAAGGTATGGAAACATAAGGGGTGGCATGTCTGGCCTTGTAGATATTTTAGTACTTTGGATATTATTGATGGAGACATTTCCCCTGTATGAAGTAAGCAGGAGTCAGACTCAGCCATCCCACATGGCAATTGTTCATTTTACAATTATATCCTAAGACAAACTGACAACAAAGATGAAACAACAGCAGTAAAGCAATCAAAAGACAGGTTGCATAGGAAAATCTGCTGGCAAGGACCTCTCCAAAGTACTAAAGGGCAATGATGTCAGTTTAAAGACTAAGGTGTTCCTGACTTAAGCCATGACGTTTCCAATTGCTTCCTAGGCACCTGAAAATTGCACAGTGAGTAAGAAAAACAGAAGAATAATGCATGTCTTTGCATTGTGGTGTTGGAGAAGAGTACTGAATATCCCATGAACCACCAAAAGAGTAAACATGTCTTTCTTGGAGGAAGTGCAACCAAAGTGCTCCTTAGAGGCAAAAATGGTGAAACTTTACATAGTTTGAGCAGGTTATCGAGAGTCCTTAGAAAAAGCCATCATGCTGAGGAAGGTGGAGGTTCAGAGAGAGATAAGGAAACCCTCCAAAAGATGTGTTTGTAGAAGAACAAAGGGCTTGAGCATAGCAGCAATCATGATGATGGTGCAGGCTAGGGCCAAGTTCAGATCTGTTGTACATATGGTCACTATGAGTCACAACTGACAGCACCTGACAATGACAGTAACAACTATCAAACTGTTCAACTTATTGTACAAATGAGATTTAAAGACAGATTTAAGAGCAGAACTTGTTTGTTATGCTAGAGCTCCCTACAAAAACTATGGTACCCAAGCACAATATCTAAATTACATACATCTTATGTCACAGAATGTGCTGTTGACATTGTTTCATGTCTGACTGAATAAATGCATACTATTGAGAATCGTGACCTAGCCAAGGTGATACATAACATTAATCATCCCAACCTTCTAGGACATGGATCAGCACAGTGGCTTCAACAAGGAGCGCAAACAGGAACAATTGTGAGGATGGTGCAGGGCCAAGCAGTGCTCCACTCTGTCACAGGCAGAGCCAGTGTGAGTTGTAAGCAACTCAGCACAACCTAGCAACACCACCTCAGACTTAATGGAACTGCTGCTGGTGGTGGTGGTGGTGGTATTGTTATTGGCTTCGAGTCAAGCATGACTCATAGCAACCCTATGAAGCCTCTCTACAATTATCAACATTTATCAAAGGTCATAGTTTCCGGAGGCATGAGTTATTTAGTAACATGATAGTTTAAAAACTAAAGTTCTTTTGTAATTAGTGTTTCTTTGGTAGGTATTTCAAAGATTTTCCTTTAGGGG